TATATATATATATATGTGTACAATTTATGATATGTATAATAAATTCTAATAAATATATACATTATATAAAATTAAATAGAAAATAAATTAATACTTTTTTTTATTTGGACCTAATCAGTGACTAGCAGTTGGTGGATCTCCTATATTAGACAATTCTTCAATATCGGACATTAAATTTAAATGAATTAGTCGAACGTTCATTACTTTAAACATTGGGTAAGATACCAAAAGTAAATTACCAATGTGTAATTACGATTTCAATCGGATTGGAAAATAAATAATTAATCCATAATTACTGATTCAAACGGATAGGAAACAGATTTAAAAAATTCAAAAACTTGATTCGACATCACTTCAATGAATAATATTTTCAACATTTCTCAATAATTTCTCGTTTGTTGGATAAGATGACGACGGATGCAGCCTGAGCCATGGCTAATGACTTCTCTAAATATCAAATACACCTAGATTCTGATGTGGATTTGCGATAGGTCGTGTATAGAACATTACTTTGGTGTTTGAAAAAAAGCAGCATTTAGATGTCAGCTCAGAAGAGGTTAATATGTGAACCAGGTATGGCTGGCAAAATTATTAATGCATGTGCTAACATGCACAATGAGGATTGCGTATGGCATACAAGACGTGGAATTAGACGAAATAGACAATGAAAAGACTTGCATTAAAGGCTCAATATAGATCATGAAGACAGAACATTTCAAGGACGAACACTTGCCGAACGCATTCAGAAATGTTTTATTGTGGAAGATATTGTGAAAGGAATTAATTAATTTATTTAAAAGTAATAATAACATTTTGAACTTAAAAAGAATATGTGCGTATTATATACTTATGTCAAATTTCTTCACTTCTAGATAATTTTATCCAAGAGATATCCCAGATTACAACGGAGATATTTCCTGAACAGTTATCCGCAACTTATCTAGAGGTGAAGAAATTGAACGTTAATTTAATATTGCGTATTTATTACACTAAAACAAATATCAATTTTTTTTCAAATAAAAACAGCAGTACAAAAAACATATGTAGAACAAACTCAAACCTATTTATTTTTGTCCAATATCTTTTCCATTAATTTATGTACACTATTCAAAGTTTGAAGCACATTTTCATCTACTTGTAACTTTTTCTTATCCAATGTAAGCCGTTGTTCGTCCAAAACGTTCCGTTGACGGTCATTTTCCGCTGCTATCATTGCAGCATTAGCTTGCTTCATTGCAGCTTCTGCAAACAACTGTAACACACACAAAAGATAAAATATTTTATTATATAATAAACTTAGCACACATATCGTAATGCAATATTAAATACGCTACCTGCAAAGCTTTAGCATTACTTTCTGAAATTTTCGCAAATTTTATTCGTGTTTGTTGCAATTGCACATTAGTTCGTAAATCCTCTTTGTCTGTAAAATAAATAAATAATAACATATACATGTAACCTTAATTTTATACATATATATTAGGATCTTCGAATAATAGAGAAATTGGAATAAATATTGAATGTTAAATATAAAAAATAAAAAATAGATTAAACACAAAAATAGATTAATATACAATGAATACAAATAAGATAGAAGATATTTTGAATGTTTTATATACAATATCTTATGTGTAAAATATATTGTGCATTATGTAACCTTTATTTCTCATTTCTTTAGGTTAATATTTAATATTTATTCTTACTCCTTCATTTTGTACATAGTTTTACGCATGTATATATTTTGTTTCAAAACAATTTGAACACAGATTGCGTTTATTCTGCATTATACTATATTTTATATAAAACTGCACTTACTGACGGAATAGATTTTTTTTTTAATTCGTTGTATTGTTTTCGTTGTCCTTCTCCTTCTTTTTGTATCAGTAGGCCTTCCTTTTGTATGTGTATTGATTTTAACGACTTGTTCATTATTTAAACATTCTACAACATCTATCAGCTCATCAGTTTCTTTATTTACCTCACTTTCTAATTTTTCTTCAAACGTACGTGGTTCTGTAAATATAAATATGTATGTGTGTATATGTGATAAATACCAGGGAATGGAAATAACTCGTTATTTGTTACAGTTACAAGTTATCTTTTTTGGTAACTACTGGTAACTGCGTTACTTTCTTTTAGTAACTGTAACGATAACGTAGTTACATTTTTTGGTAACAGTAACGAATTTTACAGTTACTTTTGTCGTTACTTTGCACACAATTGAACGATTCGATTGGACACTAGACATACGCGTTTGAGACTAGGAAGCCCTTAGACACTCAACTGCTGTAATTAGTGGTTGATTTTAAAAAAATAATGAAAAGTTACTTTCTCAAGTAATGGTAACTGTAACGAGTTAGTTTTAAAAATCAGTAAGTAGTAACGGTAATTTGTTACTCTTTCTACTCGGTAACGAGTAACTGTAACTTGTTACTTTTTTAAAGTAACTTTTCATTCCCTGCTAAATACAATTTGTAATACATTGGGTGCATTTAGTGGACTCAATAGTTGGGCAAGCACTCGCTACTATATTGGTATATTCGTCTATATCTGATTAGATGATCTAAAAGAATACAACAGCGAACGTTCACTCAAGTGTTGAGTCCATTGAATGCAACTATTAATTTTTATCTTATTGTATAATAGTATATTATAAAATGCGTATATAATAATATATATATATATACCATATATA